AAGAGCAGCACAGGTTACTACAGAAAAAGTTTTCACAATGCTTCCATAGCTCCAGTCCTGAACTACCACTTCTCACTACTACAACTGCAGACCTATGCAAAGGCAGCGTTTCTCAGAAATTTCAGTATGGCTATCAAGTCTTTCACGCAGGAACATGGCTATCCCAGAACTAGAAGCCACCAAGCAACATCAGCAATTCCAGAGCAATTCCAATTCAGACTCTTCCACAGTAGCAGCATGTAATTTGAGCCTGGCTAGTCATCTGCTGCACTACATGTCTGTGGAAGTCAGGACAGGCCTAGTAATAACAGTAATCATCAACCACTTAAAGGCTCAATGTGCAAGTCCTAAACTGGCAGGCAGACCCCTAAAAAAAACATTTATCTTCCCCTGTTCTAACGCAAAACAAAAGACAACTTCTTCCAACTTATCAGCTCTCATGTCCCATCACATTTTTATCCTGCACTTTCACCCTTCTTCCAACTACAACTTATCACAAAGGACAGAGGAAAATAATGCAGGAGCATTTACTCTATATCCATTTTCTTCAACTTCCATTTCAGCACAGAAAACATCCAGATCCACAAAGCCAGGGCTACATGTCAGACAAATCCTTCAAAACGCTACCTGTGGCACTAGTACTCCTGGTCCTGCTCCCTCGGCCCTCCTAATCTCTGAAGTCAAGCGTCCTAGCTTGACTTTAAGTGTCTTAGCACTACAGCAGTTTCCCCAGCATCTGGGATTTATGTAACACACCAAGAAAAACCTAAGCAGCATTTCATCCAGGACACAAAGTCAAACATTGTCTACGTGCACAGGCATTAACAAGTTTTCAAAACTTCTCTCCACAGACCTTAAATCATAACCACGCTTTGTTTATAGCTACATATATATAGACTATGTGTAGTAGCCACAGACCAAAACACACTCATGTTTATTACAAGAAATCGACCACTACTTTAGTGCCTGAAAAGACACAAATTATTAAGTGCAAATATTGCTATGCTGCACAACCTTCTTAGCCAATACACCGAAACTATTATTGGTTTGAATTAAAACAAGTATCTTACCTGCTTCGAGGCCATACAACAGATCGGGACCTTGACCGTGATCTGGACCTAGATCTAGGAAAAAAGCAGTGAATGTTCAACTACGACTACATTGATTCATACAGCTGAGATAGTATTCCTTGACTTTTATGATACTGACCTCAGAGAATTTTGTTAGAGGTATTGGTTTTGCGGAAATAAATTTTATTATTAGAAAGCTGTAGTACACTTGGCCAGTACTACCATCCATACAAGAAATACTGCTACCCTAGCTGACTAAGCATAATTATTCCCTGTATCCTTGAAGCTGAAGTGGGAAACCTTAATGATAGCTCAAGGCTGTAACTTTGGTACAGCATAAAAAAAAACTCCTCAGAAACAGCAGTTCCAAAGTTACACACTTAAGTTTTTAACTTCAAAGAAAGCGTTCAGATTAGCTCTCAGGGGTGTAACACCATGAAGGTTCCTGCAAACACACAGACTGCAAAATACAAACTTGATGTTAACACCAACAGCTATGTTCCCTTTCACAATCTTGTGGGCTTAAAAGAAAACACGTACCTTGATCTCCTTAAAGAACCAGACCGAGATCTGCGGGGTGAAAATGATCTATACCTACGAGGAGAGATTGACCTGGACCTGCGGTAGGAAGCTGACCTAGATCTACAAAACAAAGGGAAAAAAACAACCAAAATTACTGCAAGGTACTTTTGACAAGGACTACAGAAATGGGTGGAACAGAGGGAGGAGTAAGAAAAAGAATGAGAACATAACAGCCAGAACCCTACCTCCTACCACGACTGCGACTGCGTGACCGAGAATACCTTCTTCCTCGGGACCTGGAACGGGATCTAGACCGGGACCTGGTTTTAGGTTAGAGAAAACAGGTATCAGGAAACAGCTGCAGGAATCAGTGCACATGAGGCCCTGCTGAAGTCAAAACTGATTTCAGACAACTAAAAAATAATAATAGTAATAAAAAAAACCAAACAAGAAACAAAACAAAATAAAAAACCCAAACAAAACAAAACAACAAAAACACACCACTAGCATCTGTCAGCTGGAAAAATTCTCTGGGCCTACTTGTCTTGAGCATTTTACTACCTAAAAATGTTAAAAGCTGAATTACATTGCAGAATTACATTAGCATAGAAAACACTGTAATGCGTATTTAAAATAAACCTTGCAAGTTTGCAGGTCGACCCTCTTTGGCCCAAGGTCTAGCAGATCTAGACGGTCTAGAAGTATCTATAGCCGATCGCTGCATCTAGGTGTTCTCTTCAATCTAACGACGATCAAACTGACAGCCCAATGAGCCAGGGTGAGGCTTGATTGACGCAAGAAGATTTTTCTAGGTGGGAATGTGGTCAATCTGGTGTTCCTCTTTCTAAACCGGAGGGGGGCCCCAATTGAAAGCCAAATTTACTGTTACGGCGATCACCGTCTCAAATTTTCTGCCCTCAAAGAATAAGGTGAAGCTACGTGTAGATGGCTCGAGGGGATCTGGCCTCTTATGCTGATCACCTCAAGGTCTAGGAGGATCTTAATGTCGGATTTGCAAGGCGCCTCAGCATGAAATCTTAAGGCTCGTGACATTCTGAATCAAGGCGACTGACTCAAACGAAGAAACCTGAAAGGTTTTGACCAGGTTGATTATTAAGATATTAACATTTTATATGTATTAGCAAAAAAAAAAAAAGTGATATACACCTGTTGACTTACAACATTAAGAGTTAAATCTGATGTAACATTCTGTTCTTTGCTAGCAAGAACTACACAACAGCAAACTGGTGAAGCAACCCAGCCACTGCAGCCCCACACGTACCTGCTCCTCCTCCGGCGACTATAGCGGTGACAATCATAAGCATAGTGGCCTTTCTCACCACACTCATAGCATCTGTCATTAGGGTCAAAGGGGCGCCGTGCCGGAGGCCTGTCGTAACGGGAGCGACGCGGCATCCCTGTGGACACCTCCACTCTAACCCTGGAGCCGCATATTATCCTGCAAGACATATTAATCACAGGGATACATTTCTCCCCCGTGCTCGTTACACACAGAACAGGTATCAATGATTTATGTGGGCTGAGGAGGTCAGAACCGCCGCCAGAGCAGTCAAGGAGCTTTTAGGCATGCACATACTTCCCATCGAGGCCGAGCACAGCATCCTCAGCGTCCCTCGGGTCTTCGAACTCCACGAAGGCAAACCCCGGCGGGTTCCTCGCGATCCACACGGTTCTCAGGGGCCCGTAGTAGCTGAAGGCTCTCTCCAGCTCGCCTTTGCCCGCGCCCGTGCCCAAGTTCCCCACGTACACCTTGGTCTCTGCCGGGAGGGACGCCATGTCAGGGCCGCCGCGCGGACCCGGCACGCAGGCGCGGCGCTGG